ATTTTGTACAGCGGATGGAGAGACTGGCTGTCCATGTTGTAGAATGTCAGCTAATGACATCTACTGAGTCGGACCGAGCTGCTGCTGAAGGCCCAAAAGCAAATGGAACTTCAGTTCCTCTCATTATTTTTTGTCAGTCCATCTTTACATAATGTCACATGTACATTGCATCATGAGGCTGAAACAAAAGTGAGACAATGTTTTTGTATATTGGTCGTAATGTTTTTGAGTTCATCTTCCTTTTTATGTAAATCAGTCGATGTACTAACTACATTTGTCAGGTAGAAGCAACAAGGAGAGAAATACAACTTATTCACATAAAAACGTTGAAGAAACTGAAAGACTGAACAGTCATGTGATGTTTCAGTGCTTCTGTTTCAAAGTGCAGTACTACTAATTGTTCTACTTCTCACCTCTCACCATCAGGCTTGCTTAAGAAAGGCATCTTCTTAGCTTGGATGTCTCTGGTCTGTTTGTACCAAATAACATACTATACGATATGTAGCAGGTTACTGTGGCACTACTGCACCAGGTTTACTAACGCTGGCTGTTCAGTGCCAGCTTTAAGTATTAGCAAAATCACACCAAAGAAGCTCTGCACCTGAAGATGTGCAATAAGATACACAGCAACTGCTACAGCAGTTTTGCTCCAGGGGAGTTGAGCAACTGGGACTGGGTGCTCAGAATAAATTCTGAATAAAATTGGTTTTCTGTTGATGATTGTTTCAGATGGATCTCAGCACACTGTGTTTTCACCCCGCTTCAGGTGGCCGGAGACCATTTTTACTCATAATGGTCCCTTCAAAGTGTTGGGTGGATCACGGTGTATGACCCCTGTATGTGTCGTGACTTCGTTGTGCTGCACTTCGCCCATTCAAGCATTTAGTTTTACTGTTAGGGCTGACAGTAGGAGCACCCATCCTCTGAATCTAGGTGGGCTCTCGTTCAGCACCACGTCAAATCAGTGACTGCTCGACAGGTTGGTAATATTTTGGCAGAGTTCTGCCAGAAACCTTCATGTTTCATATGCAGCAGTAATGGTTGTAATATGATAATAAAATCTGGACCCACAATTTTGGGCAAAAGCAGAAAAGGACAAGAAGAGGACACGGCGGGGTGGGTCAGACAGCATGGTCATTTTTCATTATGCTTGCAAAGCATTTCCTCTGCATTTATGATGAACCGTATGTATAGATGACTTTTAAAGCTGTGTGATAAAGTGTTGACCAGCCACCAAAATAACAGTAAATTAATCAATGAGATGAAAAAGAACAAGGTTTAATAGAAGGTAAAGGCACAAGAAGAACAAAGGAAACAGACAGTCCAAGATGCCAAACAGCAGGAAACGGTGTCAACAAACGCTGTCACACTGTAAAAACATAGATGCAGTAATATTAAGAATAGGGTGGGACCCCACTGACCGATAGGTGGGTCTGATAGCTGTTTATAGGCACATCTCTATGTTAAAATCTATCATTAGTTATCGGCACATTCAGAGTGACAGAGGTTACTTTATGCTGTACTGGTGGTAAACCAGTGATGTTGGACAATAATTGTCATTCATTAATTGTTCATGAGTATTCAGAGGGTAAAGGTGCTAATTATGCTAAAGCATGTCAAGAAAAAATGATGCTGATGAGGTGGAATTTCAGACAGTAGCTTTCCCTCTTAAGCTTCCGTATGAATCAGACAACCATACTGTCACATCCTCAGTGCTTCCAGTGATTCTAATCCCCTGGAGACGTTGTCCTCTTACCCTCGCATCCACGTGGAGGTCAAAACACATTAGACAGCTGCAGAACTGAAAGCCTGCAGCTGGCAGAGGCTGCGTCACGTTCAAGGACGCTTTCCTCGGGGTAGCTGTGTTCACTGAAGGCAGGGCTCCTGCTGCTTTCACATCATACTGTAAATATGAACTATCCACTGGGGAAAACACTGTTCCTGTTAGTCCCACGTGGAAGCTGGGGGAATATTTTCTAATACCAGTATGTCCCTGCTGGAGTTGGGATCTGTAACAACAGTGGTGGCTGAACAGCTGATTGTGTTTTTCATTCAGTCTATCATAGATTTTGTTGCTAAGGAGGTTAAAATACAAGGAATTTAACTCCAGCTTAACGGCCCGTGATGCGCACCAAATAAATCAGAATGAGTAAAAAACAAACAGCCACCTACTGATAAATCTGTACAGTACATACAGTGATTGTACAGTTATTACATCTAGCACTGTGGCGTTTGCTCTGTCATGTTACACATATAACCACAGCGGCCCGGGGACAGAAACTGTCCTTGTCCAGTTGTCTTGACGCACAGTGACCTGTAGCGCCACCCAGAGGGGAGCTGTTCAAACAGTATGGATGGAAGCGCCAGCTGCTCTGAAGTTAAGGTGTGATAAATGAATTTGACTGGCTAATGTCTTGTTCCTGCAGGATGGACCAAGTTTGCGCGGCTGACGCGGGCGCTCACCACTAACCGCAACACGCTGCAACAGCTGGCTCCCATCGGCAAACATGAAGTAAGCCATAAACAGTCCAGACTGGCCGAGGTGAGCAAAAACGCTTACAGCATTGTCTGTGTCACCGGTGCATGAAACAACACTCCATACAGCACATTTTGACTCCAGGTCCACTTGCCAGCTTTGTCCAGAGCTTCTAAACATCATTTTCATCTTCATTCTGTTATCATGTGACCAAAGGTCCGTATTTGGATCAGGTGCTTCATAGTGTACTGTGCAGTGTAACTTATTTCTTGGCCCAGTAGCTGCCCAGCAGCACCACAGCTGCTGTCAGACAACTGGGTGCACAGTTTAACTACACTGAGCTACCAGCAGTTCACATGATCAGGCATAACCCAAGCTAAGCTAGTATGTTAGCAAATCATCATATACAGACATACAAGCAAACTGCACGCTGTGCCGTGAATGCGCCCATCCTTCCCCACCCTCCCTCCCGTGCACACTCACATGCCGACTTCCCTAGAGCTGCAGTTGTCTGACACAGCTAGCAGTGCTCTCTCTGCTGCCGTGGACTGAGGGCCTCATTAATATTTGATGCTGGGTGGAGAGACACAAGCAGGGACTGTGTGCACTCTGAGATTGTGACTGCTGCTTGAAATTTAGAAAATGGATTTTGGGATGAAGAGATGGTGGCTCATGTCTTATATTGGCACAGCTCCCCAACAGTTTTATTCATGAAGGTTTGAGTGAGGTGTGTTGCCTGTAATCAGAATTTGAGTTTCAGCATTGCTTAGTGCACGAGGTGAGGAGCTGTAGCAAAAGTGTTGCTTCCAGGGTGTTTCAAAGGCGATGAAGGACACGGGAAAGGAGAAAGGATAGAAAGAACACTGAAGAGCAGAGAGCAGGCAAAGACAGAAAAGCAAAGGGCAAAGAGAAGAAGAGAAATAAGATGGGAGATGTAATAAAGGAAGAAAGAGACAAAACCCCCAAAACCTGAAATTTTAAACAAAACTTACAAACTGGAGATGTGAGGTTTGAAAGAAAAGTCTGGGATGTTGTAATGACATGCTCGGTGCATTATGGGAAATGTAGGATCCGGTGCTTTTGGAGCTTGAACTGTACAAGAGAGACAATATTAATCATTTTCAAGCTGCAAAATGTTTATAACGCATGACGTAGTGTTAAGCAGCCAGTGTTTATTACGCGCAGTATGTTCAACAGATAATTTGCCCAGTTTTATAAAATTACAACTGATTTATTGTCTTTCATTCTGTTTATGAACCAGCATCCAGTTAAGGAAGACGACATAAAAATACACTTGAAGACCTCCCATCTTCTTACAGCAGCATTTAAATACACAGCAGGATGGATAGTAAGACTGGAACAAACCTTGTATTTATGGCCTTCTAAGAATTCATGTTACACAGGCCCAGAAGTACAGTGCATTGACTATATTGGCTAAATTTGAGTTTATAAATTTATTTTATTTACAGCCTTTAAAAAAAAACCTATGTAGAGAGGTAGGCAACAGTGTGCCCCAAGTTTGGACTGTTAGTTCGTTGCATCATTACAAATATCAGGGTGATGTCGTTTTTTTTTCTTGCTTCTGCAGAACACAGAAGTTCTAGTTTTAATTCAGCTCTTTATAACAGCAGGCAGGTAGTGTAGGAGGTTGGAGGCAAAAACTGTGATGCAAGATGAGGCCAGGGGAAAGTAGAAGTAAGTGAAGAAGGAGAGGAAGGGAAGAAAATATGAAATAATGAATATGCTACTGAAGGTAGCAAGTAAAGGGCAGAATGATGTAAGGAAACAAGATGTGGCAGGAGGGAAAAGAAGGTTGCAAAGCCAAGAAAGCAGTGATGTTGGGAGGGAGGTAGGAAGGAAGCAGCAGAATCAGTGTAACAAGCTGATACACCCCCTTTCCTATTTTCCCAGCACTTGGATGGCACAGGGCTGTGTAATGTCCTGAACACACTCCATAGATATGGCAGGTGATGCATCTGCTCCGCAGCCTGAAAGGCACAGCTGGCATCTTCTGTCGAGGATGCTGTCGAGTGTCACATAAGCCGAGCTGTCCCCGCTCCCCCGCCCCCTCCACCCTGTGCCGCTGGGCTCCTAATTGGCAGTCTCAGTTTGGAGCTGTTTGACCAGGAGCTGTTTGAGGATTAGATGAGACGCAGCTCTCTGGTGATCCTCAGCTTGGAGTCCCACTGTGAGGACAGCTGCCGCTAACTCGAGCTAACCGAGGCCAATGGAGGCTAACTCTGAATGTTCCTGACATCAGGAGAGTATGAAGCAGTCATCATGGTAGAAGTACTCTGCTTAGGACTAGGTCTGTTGTGATCATTAGTACCAGCAATGATTATGGCAAGTATTGGAGGCATTAGAAATGCTAGTACTAACAGTAGTAGCAGTAATAGACACTGTAGTGGCAACAGCACTACCAGTGTAGAAACACTAGTAGTATTGGTAAAGTTACATAGGTAGCAGTTGTAATACTGCAAGATGTAATAGATTATGTAATAGTGCAGAGGTACTCGCCATGGAGCAACTAGTAACTGGTGGTGTGGTGGTGGCTGGGTAGTAGAGTTGCTACTAATGTAAGTGGACTAATAGATGCTGTTACAGTAGTAGTACTAGTAGTAGCAATAGTAGAATTGTTAGTAGTAATTGTACAAATAATAACAGTAGTGTTTAGCGGAGAAGTACCGGTAACAGTAACAGTATTGGAATGCTACTAACAGCAGCATGAATAGCCTCATGGCTCATTAGGTGTTAATAATAGTAGTAGCCCTGTTAACATCATCAGTATTATTAGAAGTAACTGAACACTAGAAGTAATAACTGCAGTAGTAGTAGTAGTAGCAATTTTAAATATTATAGTCTATCACAATATGCTTATCTGTATTGGCAGTAATAGTTAAAACAGCAGTGTTTCTACTAGAACTAGTTGTAAAAGTTGTTACTGTGGCTTTTGGGTGTTAGGAAGTAAAATCCTGCCTTATGTTTTCAGATGTATTCTATGTTACAGTTAATGCTTGTAGCTGCTGGATACAAACAGAATAATATGCAGTTTAGTGTAAAATGGGTTGAACGGTTGATGTGTGGCCTGCAGAGGAAATCAAGCTGCTGTCTGTTGGAGTTAATGTAGTTAAGTTGTGCAGAGGAGGCCGAGCTCCACAGGGGTGATCATCAGTGCCCTGCAAAATTCAGTTGTTGTTTTTTTTTTGTCTTGAGCTCTCAGCTGTTTTTCCTTTTCTCATTTTTTTTGACTCTTTTTTGTCTCATTTCAAGCCCAATTTATTCACACTGCGGGACCGTGACAGAGCTTTACACAGCAACACGAGATGAATGCAGATGAACGCTGGGGAGGAAAACATCACAGTTTTTAATATACTTTTCTTGCACGCACACAGTCACATTTAGCAGCAGGGGATAATTATTACTAGAGTTTTTTTGCTTACTTTTTCCTTCTTTAATCTCTGTCATCTATCTCACTAATTGAATTTCATCTCCCTGTGTTTCTCTGTCTTTCTTGGCTGTGCTCTTGCCCAGTTAGACAGAACACAGTTAATGAAATAGAAGTGTAGAAATCTTCCTCAGGCTTCTGGTACAGATGAAATTCATTTTTAGAAATATACCTTAACAGAAGAACCCAAACATTTGTCAGTATACAACACTGAAGGACATTTTAATTAATTAATTAATAAGGTGCAAACTGGGGTCGGTGCTCAAATGAGAATTTTAACTTGGTTTATCCTAAACTTTACACATGCATGTATAAGACACCCTATAATAAATGCAAATCAATCTTAAACATAAGAGGAAAAAAATCGAAATGCATGCACTTTAAAGAAATATGTCACAGAATATAGCAAAAAAAATTTAGCTGAAATCTCAATATAAAAATGGCAAAATCTGTAAAATGACACTAAAAAGGTTTTTACATTGGACTTGGTTTACAGCACAGTGAGAAAAGTAGACCAGAAATAATAATGAATAAAAGAAGGTTAAATAGATGGTTTTGGTTTGTTGAGTGAAGCGGTAAGATATGAACTGTTTGAAGATACAGACGTTTCTTTTTTAACATCACTGAATGTCTGAAAACTTGAATATAAACAGATGTTGTTCAGGATCAGATGAGTCTGCATGTTCTCCCTGCGTGGCTTCTCTCCAGGTGCTCCGGCTTCCTGTATAGATAACGGATGGATGGATTTGAACAAAGGAAATCAAATGGAGGATTTTGTTAAGTGAAGGTATCTTGATCTGTCCCATGTCCAGGTTTTGCAGCTGAACTCTGACATCCTCCCACAGTACAAGCAGGAAGCCCCCAAGACGCCTCCCCACATAATCCTTCACTACTGCACCTTTAAGACCACCTGGGACTGGGTCATCCTCATCCTCACCTTCTACACAGCCATCATGGTGCCCTACAATGTCTCCTTTAAGACCAAGCAGAACAACATCGCGTGGCTGGTGCTGGACAGCGTGGTGGACGTCATCTTCCTGGTTGACATCGTTCTCAACTTCCACACCACCTTCGTAGGGCCTGGCGGAGAGGTGATCTCTGACCCCAAACTCATTCGCATGAACTACCTGAAGACCTGGTTCGTCATTGACCTGCTGTCCTGCCTGCCCTACGACATCATCAATGCGTTCGAGAATGTGGATGAGGTAGGGTTTGATTTTTAAGGATGGCTGCCATCTAGGTTTTTGAGTTTCATGGAGACATTACAGGGCCTCCTTCTTACACCTGACTGGACAAACATACCATATGAGTTTTAAACCCAAACCATACCAGCAACATGCCCCCCACAGCATAACAGAGCCACTAGATCCCTTCACGTGTTAATAGCAGGTGTACATCAAGTTCACGAGACATGAATGAGTAGACATTTAATGACTAATGATACGCCCCTGTGGGTGGTATGAGAGGGAGGGGTCAAATGGCCATATGGGTCGTATAGGTTGAAGGAGCTTACTGCTTCAGGCTTAAGAACAAAAACTTAAGTTAATGTTGGTTTTCTGGTCTGGGCGGTGGAATAATGGTAAATCAGTGTCTCAGCATCAGAAATATACAGAAGAGGACCTTCACCAGATTTTGGCGTTGGTAGAGAATTTGAATGTTACTGTCTTTACTCCTGAGTTTTCACAGAAGCAGTTTGAGGAAAACTCTTGTTGAATGAGAGTTTTAGATCCTGAACCTGTTTGTCTGATGTTTCACTGTGATCGGTTCTGTTCTGAGCGTTTTCACGACCTCTACTGTGCATGTCAGATATCGAGGACCTAAATCAATGTGGCCACGAGGCTGTTAGAGGTGATTTTCCACTTGATTTGCTGGTGATTAATGAGACGGCCTGAGCTGAAAGAGGAATCTGCTGAATGTCATATCAAAAAAACAACTGATATCTACTAATGTTGTAACCGTGCATTTTTCAGTTTTCTGTGCTTCAGTGTTTAATCTTTCCATGTGTAGGTGTGTGCCTTTTGTATCTGCCATCTCATACATGTGAACACACACAGTAGGCTTGTGCTCGTGCACTGGCATCCGTGATTCGTGTTTGAATGTGTGTCTGCCAGAAGGGGGTTTGCTCACATGAATTTTTGAATGCCATCAATAATAATAACAATAATACCAGTATTTAAGCTGCCAGCAGCTGAATTTTCAACATCTATTAATTTTTCCTGCCAAAAATAATTCCACACCTCCCTCAGCAGTTTGTTCTCGTTGGGAACAACACACTGAAACACAAACTAGTGAAGTTTAAAAAGATTTCTCAGTAACAAAATGGTGTGTTCACAGTCTGTGATCAACTTAAAGTAGGTTGTATGTGCAACTACTGGCGCACCATGAAATAAACTCTTAGGGCTTTGACCAGTGAAAGACTAGTTTTTAAACTGTTTGACAAATTGTCTGGATTAGAAAATACTAGATTAGACCATATGTAAGCTCGAGTGCTTGTCCTTCCTCCAGCTTCATTATTTTGTGCACTGCGACATCTCAAAGTGCACGTCACGGTTAAAACAGGTCCACTAACTCTGTGCTCATGCTTTCATCCAAACTATGTCAGTTTCTGCAGTGCGAGTTAACGGGTCAGTTAATGCTCAGTAGGCCCCTAATCCACCTAGTTCATTAGGTAGGTCGTAGGTCATCATTATGCCAAAGATCTTTGTGTGACAATAAACACAGAGCGTCCTGCACAAGAATGTGGCGGTTAGGTTTAGGAAAAGATTGTAGCTTAAATGAACTACTTCCTTCACGTTACAGGGCCTTTGTCATTGTTGTTACGATAACAACACCGTGTTTCACACTGGACTCAAGCAGCATGCTTCACACCAACCTCTTCCAAATGTGAACGTTGTTGCTCTGCTGCGTCGCCTCATTTCCTCCTTTGCTCACATTATTATTACTACTGGCCACCTAATTGCACCATGTATCAGTGATAAACCCCATAAATGTGGGTGTGATAACAACTGATAAAAGCCTTTGAGCGGTGCGGTAACATCTGAATCAGCTGTTTGAGCGGAACCACAGCCATTAAGAAGCAAGTATTTCCCATGGTCCTGTTATAATGTTAAACAGGGGTAAATTATGTCCTGGAACCTTGTCTAACAGGCCATGAAGGACTTTAGTGGCTCTCCTGGGGTACATCGGTTCTTTTTAAGTCACAGAAAACATTGAGTTAATTTACAGACTTTTTAAATTAAGCTAAATCCTTTCTTTTTAATTCAAGCCCAGTGTTTACTTCATGTGTCTCTGGTAAACTCAGAGTTCAACCTGCTGCCCAGTGTGTGTTTGTGTGCGGTTGTGTCTCCTCTTTTGGTGTCTCTCGCCTTCCGGCCTCTTGCTGCTGGTCACTGATGGATTCAATGAAATCCTGCTGGGTGGAGTTTTCTGTTGCTGTCTCTTCAACAGCAGACAGTGGCGAGCCGGGGAGACAGGCTGAGGGGAAATCAATGGCACGTAAATTTCCAGCCACTAAAGAGGACAAAGCCAGAGTCTCTCTTCCCCTCTTTGCTAAATTGATGCTCCTTTCCCGTATTAACAGCATAGAAGAACGGATGTATGGTGACTGATGACAGTATGTGGGCGGCTCAAGGTGCAGCATGAAAGAAAATAGCAGAAATGTTTCTAGGCTCATTGCAGACTGAATTCCCTTGTTGCACTGTCTGATGGCTGAGGCAGGCAGGAAGTATTTTTAGCCGTATTTTATTGCAGGTTTCAGCGGAGCCATGCCAAGCAGGTGACATACAGGCGCTGCCAACTTGCATGCATACACACAAACACATACATATTTATGGTTTGTGAGGACCAAGACAGTAAACTAACTATTGGAGAGGGTTTCCTCATTGTGCCCATTGAAGGTGAGGACAGCCAGAAAAATCAGTGGTTCTGGTTGTTTTTGTTTGTCATTATTCTCAGTGTTGTTGCTTAGATCTGTGATGATTCAGGTGGCACAGCTTGGGATGCAACTACTATTTAATTGTTCATTGAGCTTTGATTAAATCAAATCAAATCAAATTTTATTTGTATAGCGCCAACTCACAACAAAAGTCATCTCAGGACACTTTACAAAGTAAGGTCTAGACCTTACTGTTATCAATATTATTACATAGGGAAAACCCAACACACT